GTGAGAGCTTTTTAGTCTGATCTGTCCTGCTTGTAAGGATCGAATGAGCACTTACGCTTTAAGTTAGGGTTGAGAGCCTACGAGACATCTCGATTTTGCCGTTGGGATTGTTGCACACCACTTTCTCTCATGCAAATGAGTACTACCCATGTCAGCTGATATGACGAGAGACCGTCAGTGCAGCTAGTTTAGAACCGCTCTCTCCCTGTGAAATGCAGTCCGGGAAATGGATAGTATTCTTCCATTATAGCAAATAATATTGAAGTGGCCATTTCAGAAACTCTGCCCTTGGCAGCCAAACTTTGTGATGTGTGATTCGTTTTGACGTCTGAACCAACACCGTCATAGACGGAAGACAAAAACAAATGCCTGGTCAGGCACTGCGTCAGGTCACGACCCCTAGTTACTATGACGAATTATTTTCTCCGTCCCTCTATTAAGATCACAGGGGAGAGGGGATCTGGATAACTCACGCACAAGTCTCCACGACCCCTTTCTGAGTAAATGTGGTCCTTGTCGAAGCCAACGGACACACTGTCAATAAAAATAATTAACGCCGACCTTTCTTTATCCGATTGTTTTCCTCCGCATGGTCAGAAGCTTGACCCCAAAGAGGTTCACCTAGGTCCTAGGTGGGTTCGACCTGATATAATTAATCAGCCTCACGCGACGAACTGGCCGGTGGAAGTATGTCGCTAGGTTGTCCTCTAGGCAGTTAATTGGATACCGTGCGGTGCAGGTCTACAGGGCGACTGTTGCTCGGTCTTGTGAAGACAGTGAAGAAAAGCGAAGAAACAGTACGAGTGAGTACACAGCGAATTAAGGTGAGTTAACAAAAATCTTAGCAATTCAAGGCCCTACCATTTAAAAATCTAATTTCTTCGGAGTATCCGCTATAAAGCATGTCAGACGAAGGTCTATCTGAGTGGAAGCACTTATAATCTCTCCTCCCTAATCACCCCTGCAAGTTCCGATAGTTATGACAAGTAGTCATAACCCTAGTGGACAGCTGCTTGAACCGTCATAATTCAACATGTCGGTGCCTGTCGTTAGAGGGGAGGGGAGAGGAGGTAGTCAAACCCGAAGAACTATAGCGGCTTGATTTTACAGTGGTTCGCCGACCGCCTTTTGATGTCCTAAGTCCCTCCACCTTATGCAGCACTTCAAAGTGTTTTCGTGAAATAAAACAGGACACACAGATTTGACCGCACCCACTTCCCTCACACACCCCGCGGCATTTTGCGAAGTAGATTGGGTTAGAGATATCAGCGAGGCGCCGATTGATCATAAGGTGGAGAGCGAATAAGGCCACGGGTGAGGGGACAAGTGGTGGTTAACTGTAAGAACGCAAACACGTTTATACCTCCCTCAAAAAGGACACAGGTTAACGGTTGTCTGTCCACATTAACAGAGATTTCGGAAAAAATATTTGATTGGCCGAATCTCATGAGAGGAGCAGGAGGGAGCTCGGTAGTGTAAGCAAAAAGACAGTGCCACTGCGAGACGTGAATATACCTGCAGTAATTGGGTGGCAACTGACTTCGAAATGGTGACGACATCAGAAGAGGAATCTGCTTTATCATGGTGCAGGTGTAGGAGCATGAGGGGGATGAAACGGAAAAGTCGCAAACAAGATGGAGAAGAGCCGGAAAAAGTGGGAAATAAAAACAACTGGGGAGATTTGACCAACAGAAGCAAACGGAATGAGAAAAGGTATGGGACGAGGAAGATAGGGATGCGAAAATTAGAGAAGGAAAAAGAAAAAAAGAACACAGAGGAAAAGGGAGCTTATAAAAGTAGTGGTTTGGGAGAAGGACCAGGCGAGAGGGATGAAAGTGAGACCAGGAGGGGAAGGGGAAAGTAACGGAGGAAAGGGCAGCTTAGGGAAAGGATAATGATCGGGAAAAGAAGGGGTGGGGGAGAGGAAAGAGAGTGCTGTGAGAAAACGAGGGGTATGAGGAAATTATATTGAATGTTTCCGAACGGAAGATAAAAAAAACGGAAGCTTGGACTGCAGGCATAAGTTATCCACGTACATAGGATACAACGGACATCGGTTTTCAATGTCAAGTTGGTAGACAGAAAAAGGAGTTCAAAATTCAAATACCCTTTTGGGAAGACGAAGGGCTGATGCAGTCTTTTAGAAAACATGAAAACAGACAATTCGTGCGTGATGTTATTATTATAACACGGAAGCAACACAATAAGAGATCCTACTGAATTGAGGCCACGTTCCCCTGGGCAGGTGGAACTAATTCTGGGGGCGTGGTTTATGCCATCTTCTTCTCATTTCAAACGATTCCCGAACCACAAGTGGATGTCACTTAATAAGTGATCCCAGTGATTTGTAGACCGACACATGAACGCCACACCTTAACACTACGCCAACCCATAATCACCCTCGTTGAACAATCAGCGGCAAAAATGAAGCACAAGACAGGCGTATAAGGAGGCCACAAAGAACGATCCTAATGCCGCTAGTTTTGAAAATTCAAAAGTGCACTACAGTATCCATTGGGACAGTATGTAGACAGGGTTGAAGTGGCTTGAACGACTGTGTTTTTTTAATTAACGACCTCGATGGGGGGAGCAGTTGATTACTAACTTCAGTGGTGTAAAATAAATTTCGCGAGAAAATACTTCATTAAATTATTGCTGTTTACTGGCTGTTCAAACTTTTGTCCCTCAACCCTCCCCTATATTGCTGTACAAGCCATAATCGAAAACGTACGTTTTTCGAACTTAGATCTTTGAAATTAGATGCATTGTGAAAATTACCATGGACGGATTCAAAAGACTGGTTGCTGAACATACGTTGGCCTTTTATAAATTCTCGTTAGGCCTGTGGTACAGGTTACATTCATGATAGGAATTGGCATCAATCCAAAGGAATGCGGAGACTTCTCGGTGAAGCAAAGAAGTTAGGAGCATATGCAGCGCAATTTTCGCACATAATCAGTTCCGGTCATGCGGACCTACCACGTAATTTCTAACGTCCCTCCAAACTACTCTAAGCCACTGAATCAGTGCCTGCTAGCAACAGCAGAATCAACTGCCATTAGGTTATGCACGCTAGTGTTGTGTGCACAGCAGAATCTCCTACAAGCCCCACATTTACCATGGAGAAAGGTCAAATAACTACATGCATTTCTCTATGCCCTTTTGTGCCTGAAAAGGTTCTTTTGCACCTTCATTGTCGCGCAGCTTCTTTTCTCTTTTTGCCTTCTACCTACACTCCACTGGTATTCGAAGAACTTTAGTCACCTTTTCTCCATATATATGTACTGACCTAACTATTCTTTTGAATCCAAAACTTGGTTACTCTGATGATAGTGAAGTAAGGTGAATAACACTGGTCGCCAAGACGTATACAAACGTTTCGAGGACG